TTCTCGGTCATACACTTTCCACCGCCATGCCGAAAAAAAACTCCTCTATTGGGTTTAGAAAGGGAGAGTATGCAGGCAGAAAGATGTTAGAAAACCTCGGGTTATTGGTAAACCAGTCACGAACCAGAGCAGCACGATGGAAGCTGACATTATCCCAAACAACAATGTAACGAGGCTGCTCTGGCTGTGCTGGTTCCCTGAGGTCCAGCTGGAACATATGCTCTCTTAGACCATCAAGGAAAGCAAGGAGGAGCATAGTGTTATAGGGTCCTAGAATGGCATGACGGTGGAGTACCCCTCATTGGCTGATGGCTGCACACATAGTGACATTCCCTCCGCGCTGACCAGGGACATTTACAATAGCCCGATGGCCAATTATGTTCCTCCCCCTTCTCCTTCTTTTGGTCAGGTTGAAACCAGCCTCATCCACAAAGATAATTTCATGGGGAACAGGCCGGCCTTCAATCTCAAAGATTCTCTGCAAAACACATGAAACACAGTAGAGTAAATCACTGCCCTGAAGCACAGTTCAAGAGGGCACAAATGGCAGCATAAACTGCTATACTGTGATGGTACACAATACTTCATAAGATATCAAAACTCATACCTGAACATATTCCATCTGTATGCGAGGCAATTTGATGCATTTCTTTATTACAGTAGCATAGTGCAACAGTGTATGCACTCTAAAGTTACTGTATAGAGCAGTCTTACTGGAAGTACACCTACCTGTTTTCCTCCCTGAAGGTTCTGATGATGGAGGCGACGGTGAAGCAACTCAAATTTGGATGTACTCGTTGCCCAGTCTCCCTCGTAGTCATACCATGGACAAGGACATGGTCAACTAAAGTGACTCGAATTTCATCTGAGACTGCTTGTTTCCTTGCCCTCCTTATCCTTCCTCTCCCCTCCTCCTTCTCCTTCACCACATCCTCCTCCTCTTCGACCTATTCCTTCATTTCTCTGTGTATCCATTGTTCCAAAGCTCAGTGAACTGATTTGGTCCCTTTTATCTATTTATTGAAGGATCTGATTGACGTGTGTTCAGTTTTGACTCTTAGTGTTTCCACCTGGGTAATTGTTTGCTAATTGAGCTCAAGCTGTGCTGACTTGAGTGAACAGTATTGAATGCTAGTGCTTTCTAAATGACCACATGGTGTAAGCACTGAGAAATGTAGGGATTTGTGTGTAGAGTTTTGCAGTAACAGTTCACCAAATCTGACTCATGTGTTAAAGCAGGGGAATAGTGTTTATAGTTCAGCAAAATGGGTGTGCTTTTTGAAAAATGGCGTTATGGTTTTGAAATTTTTGTTCAAAAGCCTGGTTATAGTGTTTTAGCAATCGAGAAAAGCTGTAATATATTTATATAGAATATAAATTATATGAATATAAATATATACAGTACATGTAAATACATGTAAATAATTTTAAAATATATACTGTATGTGTGTGTCTTTATGTGTGTGTCTTTACAGTGCACACACATATATAAACAAAAACGTTTATTTTGGATGCGATTAATCGCGAATGATCATTAACCAGCACTAATGTGTATGTATGTGTGTGTGTGTGTGTGTGTGTGTGTGTGTGTGTGTGTGTGTGTGTGTGTGTGTGTGTGCGCCTGGCTGTGAAAACCCAGCTAAAGTCATTTTTTTGTGTGATTTACTGTTTTCTACATAAAATCATCCTTCATAAAGAACATTCTGTGAAAATGTTTGAAAAAGATTGAAATCATAGTGAAATTAATGGTTGAAATCAAATTTTGATGCTTGTTATTTCATAATTTGATTTTGAGACTTCAGCCTGGATTTCACAGAGAGGGTCACATATATGTATGTATTTATTTATTTATTTATTTAATGTAACTTACATGGAAATTTGAATACCCAACCTAAATTGGATCAATAACTAAATTAATATCTTCCCTGTGTCAGAAGCCTCTAGTTCCCTCCTACACTGAACAGCGACGGTCTTGCTAACAATTTTGTTAAGGATTAAGTGGTCCTGCTTAAGGGGATTGTGGGATTTGGCAGATTACTGCTCTGACATTTGTAAATAAACAGTGGAATTTCAGTTCTTCAGATCCTGACTTGTAATCAGCAGGATGGATTAACTAAGATGCACTAATCAATTAATTAATTAAAACATGCTGACTGGTGGTACTTTCCTTCTTTTTTTTTTTTTATGCATATCCTGTTTTTAAGGCTTACGGAAAAAAGACTGGGGGAAAAGTGCTGTGTACAGTATATTGCCTTATCGTTGCATCATGGAAGCACAAGGTACAGTTTCTGTATGGGTGGTCGTCCCAGTTTTTAAGAGTTTTAGGCAAAGGATATAAACAATCTTGGGAGATACAACGCTGGCCAGCTTGACATCAAGTCCTGGGCTGATTTATAAGCTAATACAAATACATTTGCGCTTCCCTGCACCCAAATGTCTTATTGAACTGTTAGTACAAGCAAACAAACTGGGAATGTGTTGTAGATCAAACAGAACTCACAATGGACTCCATTAACTATATTTGGGGAATATCATGTGGGAGCTAGTTTTCTAATTTGCCTCTGCTAAGAGGTTTTATGAGACTTATTTTTTTAAACCAAGTGAACTATGCATTTGTTCGGTGTAACAGCTCTTGCAGTGTTTTTTACTTGCTGTTTAGAGAAGACGTGAAACATGATGGGTGTTCAGAAGATAAACATCTGGTTATGCCAACCCACCAGCAATTTGTTCAAAGGTATTTTCAGCTGCAATTTTCATCAAAATCTTTTGCACCATGTTATCTCCCGGCCTTTCATGAGACTGTTGTTATATATGCAAGATAGGATTGTAAGATTCATGACCCTTTTTTGCTTGTGTGAGGGAGTTGCCTGTGGCTTTGTTACAAAGGAATCTTTTCCTGAGGATATATAAATCAGCTGTGTTTTACAAAGGCTTCGTTCTTCAAAGTCTAGAGAGCATTGGGTTGTTTTTCCTCTTTTTCCAAGATTCAGCTGCATGCATCAAAGTCTGTCTGTTTATGATTGTGCTTTATTAATTTTGCAGTATGATCCATACAAAGGCTTCCTAGCTCTAGCACCTCTGTATACAGACAGGTCACTAAATGACAAGCCATAGAGGTGATGCTTTTTATAGTCTCACATTAATGTTTATATCTCAAGCTTTATGAAACGGTCCAGACTGCCTCTTGTTTGCTTCTGGAAGTCTCTTCTGAAATCCAAATTTGCGGATGACTGGGTTGCCAGTTCTTTTCTCTTAATGTAGAACATTATGTTTGTATATTTCATATGATTTTTTTTTTCTACTCTCATTCTCGATTTGTGAAATATTGCATTTTAAGCACAGCCCCTTAACCCCTGTTCCTTCATTCCCTCATGACCATCTGAACTCCTTCCTGTCACTATGCTGGATGTTGTCTGATAAAACCTTCATGCTCCCACTTCATCTGTTTTTCAGTCTTGCCAGTGACGGAGGATCTACCCTTTCTAAAATCATTAGCTGCGCACCGATTCACAGGGTCCCTACTCTGTGTACACTGCTCCCTACACACTCAGCAGGGGATATCTGTAGTTCACTTCACTTGACAAAATTGTTCGTTCCAGGCAATGCCCTACATCTAGAGTAACACAGAAAAACTTGCATAGATTTAAGTAGAGGTGGGGTTTCAACTATGTATACAGTATACAGATTTCCTAAAAGAATTTGCAGATTTCCTCTCAGACCGGTTGCTTTGATCCAGCGGTGGGTTAAATGTTTAATTTAAGTAGTTTTATTTAACTCAACTATTGCTTAAAAATTACTATATTACTTGCTTAAAATTAACCCAAAATAGGTTGTAAATTAAAAATCAGACACATATTTACTAGAGGCATCAGCAATAATCAAAAGCTGAATATTTATTAATAAGCCATTTTAAAAAAAGTTTATTTAATTATTATTTATTTAACTTATTAATAAATGTTTATTTATTCAACATATTAATACATGTTAATTCCCTACCTATTTTGGGCTAATTTTAAGCAAGAAATATAGTAATTTTTTTTTTGCAATAGTTTGGAAATTAGTTTGGATATGTTGAAAATTAGCATGTATTAATGTTCAATAAATTAACATTTAATAATAAGTTGAACAATTTGAAGTTAACATTTGTTAATTATTTGTTCATGTTTTTGCAGTACCCTGTCCAAAGTAGACATTTACTTATCATTAATAACTTTATGAGCAGTCATCTCAGTGGCAAAAAGTGTCTCAAATGACCTGAATTCAGGTTTTTGCAGTACCCAGTCTAAAGTGGAAACTGTTCATCATCTGTAAATGTTTATAAATATTTACTAATCATTAGTATCTTTATGGGCATTGGACTTTTAAGCTTCTGTAACAACGTTTGTGTAAAGCGTGGTTAGTTACGTTTAGCTATTGTAAATGCTTGCTAAAGACATAACGCATATTGTAAAAACATGTTTTATTGCCTCAACACTTATATTATTCCTACATCAAGAGGAAAAAAACAAATCAGTCTTTCAATTAAAATAACTTTTTTTTTAATATAAACAGATTGAACTGTGTTCCCTTATAGTAATCACACTGACACTTCTGACCCCTTAAACAACCCATGAACCTACCCATACACCCAACCTGTCTCTAACCTTAAACCGTATCACACATCAATAGCAGCAAAAGTGTTATACATCAACAAAAGCTTTTAATAATTGTTTAGCATCTGTTAAAATCATTTGTAGATTTTCAAGAAGTGCATGATTATACAGTAGGAATTGAAAGTTTAATGACATTTGTAAGCCAATTTGTTGCTCAAGAAACATTTCTCGTTGTAGCAGAGTGAGGTATAGACCCAGTATGATTGGCTGGCGTTACACAAACAGGTGAACCTCAGTGTTTGTATTTTATCATGATTGGTCAGTTGGGTAGGTTTCATGAGCCAATTAGTGCCTGTGTTGTGCATATAAAAGGGGGAAGTGTTTGGTTGCTTGGGATGTATTATCCTTGGTACCGCCCCTTTGTGACATGTGGCGCTTTGAATGAGTGCTAGCAGTTGGGTTATCCTCCTGTCTGTCGTGTGCTGGCTGTTGGCCAGTTTTCAGGTTTGTCTCTGTTTTAAAATGCCTTTTTGCCTGTTAAATGGAGAGGCTTATTACCTTTGTTTGTTTTTAGATATGGGCCTGCAAGTAGCTGTAATCCTGCGTGGTGAGCGACCATGTGTATTGCAGCATTGTACCGTTTTCTTGGTAGGTATGGGTAGTTTAAAGTTTGTTTTAAACAAGTTTTTATGCGTAAATTGTTCAATGTCCAGCAGGATTGATTGCACGTCCAGGGGTTTCTAATGATCTTAATTGAAGCCTAACGAACCTCAAGTAACTGACTGCACTTCTGCTCTGCTCTACTGTTTTGTTCTGTCTGGAATTCATCTGGGTCCGTCTGTTATTTTGTTTTGTATTGTTTGGTGCGTGGATTTAGGTGGGGGGTGGCCATGGTACCTTGTACTGCGTGTCCACATGGAGTCCTGTGTTTAATATTTCGGATTTTTCACGAGTGTGTGTCATGGGTATTGAGTGTGGGGTAGAAATCTGAGGGTCTTTGCTGGCCACCTCCCTCTTTATTTTCTCTTATTGTAATGTACTTTTTATAAGTTACTGGTAAAGACGTGTGATGTATTGAGACCTGGTGTGAAGTGTTGTATGTGTTATCAATTGTATGTTAATAAAGTGACTTTTGTTTATTTATTTATTATTATTATTATTATTATTATTATGCTCACCCTGCCTTTGGCAACGAACCTGTGTCCCTTTGTTTAGGGCTGTTATGTCCCGGTGTATTCCGGGTGGCGTAGTCGACTATAGGATTTTTCTTATTATTGGTCAATTTCAATCTCCTGACCACTTACTGCCACATCATTATCAATGCTAAAAATAGTTCTGTCACCGGAGTGGTACCTTTTCAAAAGGTGCATTTATGTACCATTTTAAGTACTAAAATGTATATTTTAGGTACTAATATATAGCTTTAAGGTACTTATATGCACCCTTTAGGAGTAAATTAACCTTTTGAAAATGTAAAGTTTTTGTACTTTTTTTTTTTTTTTTCTTCCACTTTGCAGGGCACATTTGGGTTAATGGAACATACCTATTGTTTTCAAGACACAAGCAGGTAGTCGAGAGGAGTTGTGGCAAGACAGTGCTGCTGGCAGTGCATAATGAAGTGCACCTGATGCTTGTTCTGCCTCGTCACCACTGCCATAAATCCAGCATTGTGCCTTTTGTAAAGATTTGTTTTCCCATGTATGTCCCAGGTGTTGTCGAGATCCACATATACTGTAGTGTAGCATCGGGACACAAAAAATTAGATATGAATATTTAAAAGGAGTTTCAATAACAGCAGAAATTTTATTTATAGATTTATTTTTAGACTTTTTTTTTTTTTTTTTTGCTGTCCATCTACCTTTATTATCATTCTTAAATGTCAAAGTCGAAGACAATTTGGAGTACCTTGTCTGTATATTGTGCAGAATCCAACATAAACAAGCTCAACTTGACATGCATGCTGGGATACACTTTCACACCCTAGGTACTGTCAGGCTTGTGTTCCTGTTTGGTTGTGTTTTTCTCCCCATGTGCTCCCTGTGACCCAGTTTCTCTCTCTCGTTTTGATTAGTCATTTGGTTCAGGTGTGTCCTGTTAATTACCCTCATTTAGTTCTGTATTTAAAGTGTTGTCTGTTCCTTTGGTCGGTGTCGTCCATGCCATGTGCTACATGTGTGTTCCTGCTTGCCCTGTGTTACCCCTGGTTTTGGATTATTAAAGACTGTTCATATTTCTCCTACGTCTCCACGTTCCTTGACTCCTCACAGTAGTAACATGACAGAACACCGGACCAAATATGATGGCGAATTGGGCTGAGGACCAGCTGTGCTGCCTGCAACAGGGTGGTCGTCCTCTGGAAAGGTATGTGGAGGAATTCGTCGAGCTTTCCCATCAGGTGAGCTGGCCCAACGCCTCACTATGTGCCTGTTTCAGTTGGGACTGGATGAGAACACTATTCATTGTAGTTCTCCCATTTGTGACTTCTCTTTGGTTGAGTTAATCAATCCCATCCTTGTTTTAAACTGCTCTAACTTTGAAGTAGAAGAAGTTAGAGAAGATAAAAGCCATTCTCATCCAGCCCCTTCTGAGAGCCACTGGGCCTCGCCAGCTCACCCCATGCCGAGATCCTCCACATACCTGGCCATTGGCCCAGACCACCCATATCCTCCTGTGTTTCCCCGAGCCCGTAAGTGGGTTTCCAACAACGCTAACCTGGGGGCTAAAGTTGCGGACCCAGGATTAACATCTGTCGCTGAAATCCGCCTCCCTTTCTCCGTTTCCAGCTCCCAGAACCATTCCGGTCCTTAGCCCAGGCCCACTGGCCACTCCACTGTCAAGCCCGCCGGCCGATTCACTCCCAAGCCCTTTGATGACAGCAATTATCTCCTTCACCTCAGCCCAAAAGAGGAGAAGAAACAAGAGGAGGAAAAGACTGTGGACTCTAGCCCCTGGCCAGAGTCGAATGATGGCTCTAGCCCCTGGCCAGAGTCGAATGATGGCTCTAGCCCCTGGCCAGAGTCGAGTGATGGCTCTAGCCCCTGGCCAGAGTCGAGTGATGGCTCCTGTTCCCATGTCAAGCCCAGAGAGGGCTCCTGTCCCCACATCCAGCCCAGAAGGTGCTGTTGTTCCCACGTCCGGCCCAGGGAGGGCCTCAGATCCTGAGTCAAGCCCAGAAGGTGCTGTTGTTCCCACGTCTGGCCCAGGGAGGGCCTCAGATCCCAAGTCAAGCCCAGAAAGTGCTGTTGTTCCCACGTCTGGCCCAGGGAGGGCCTCAGATCCCGAGTCAAGTCCAGAGAGAGCCCATGTTTCCACATCCAGCCCAGAGAGAGCTGTGGTTCCTACGTATGGCCCAGGGAGGGCCTCAATTCCCGAGTCTAGCCCAAGGAGGGCTCCTGTTTCCACGTCCAGCCCAGAGAGGGCTGCAGTTCCCACGTATGGCCCAGGGAGGGCCACAGATCCCGTGTCTGGCCCAAGGAGGGCTCCTGTTTCCATGTCCGGCCCAGAGAGGGCTCCTGCCCTCGTGTCAAGCCCTGAGAAGGCTGCAGTTCCCACGTCCAGCCCAGAGAGGGTTTGTGTTCCCGAGAGCAGCCCGGAGTAGACTTTTGAGCCCAGGCCAGAGCCGGTCCCAGCCAGGGGAGCCGGAGTCTCCCACAATAAATTTGTTGGGGGGGCTATAAGTCTCTGGCTGTAGTGGCCGGGCAGAGTGCCGAGGCCAAGACCACGGAGGCCGTCCAGCCATGGCCACCTGAACTGCCTGTTCCGCCATGGTTTCCTGAACTGCCTGCTCCGCCATGGCCTCCTGAACTGCCTGTTTCCCCCATGGCTTCCTGAACTGCCTGCTCCGCCATGGGCCCCTGAGCTAATACCGCCCTGGAGGCCTCCCGTCCCATACAAGCCTGTCCCTAGAGGCCTCCAGAGCGCCCACCCCCCTCCCCTCTGGAAGTTAAGTGGTGCGAGGACGCGCCTTCTGGGAGGGGGAGGTAATGTCAGACTTGTGTTCCTGTTTAGTTGTGTTTTTCTCCCCATGTGCTCCCCATGACCCAGTTTCTCCCTCTCGTTTTGATTAGTCATTTGGTTCAGGTGTGTCCCGTTAATTACCCTTGTTTAGTTCTGTATTTAAAGTGTCTGTTCCTTGGTTCCTTTGTCCGGTGATGTCTATACTATTTGCTTTGTGAGTGTTCCTGTCTGCCCTGTGTTACCCCTGTTTGGGTCAATAAACACTGTTACTCATTACACGCCATCGTCTCTGCGTTCCTCGCCTCCTCAGGAGCATCGTGACAGGTACACCTTTTACACTGACTCAGTTCCATTTCTTTTTATTCATTATTTATTTTATTTATTTTATTTATTTATTTTTAAATAAAATGTATTTAATAATGTTTAATATTATGTTACATTAGCTTCCGGTGCCTTTGCCTCAGTTCCGGCACCCATAAAATCAATTGTACAGCCATAGCCTAATTTAAAAATCCTATAACAGAATTAATTAACTGCAGCTTTTTCTAGAATGTCTTCTGAAAAGGTGTTTGATATTTGATAACACTCAAACTTGGAATGTTTCTATTTAGAACTTGGAATGTTTCTGGTCTCATAAAACAGCAATAGCTTTTCCAACGATGCATTTTGGATGGGACTAGGTATATTGATGAATGAATAAAGGTTTAAAAATAGAGGGATAAGACATCAATTATGTAACTTATTTATAAATCTTTTTTTTAGGTTAAATTTTTTTTTTAATTTTTAGGTTTTAAAGCATTCGTGGGAGACACTGACTTTCAATGACAAACAATGAGTGAGGCCAACTATTTTCTAAAGGAATTTTAAAATATTCAAAAAATTATGAAATGTAAATCTAAAGGTCATTTTCAGGGGGAAATTTTTTTAGGTTTATCTCTCGCAACACAAATTGTTCTGCCACCCCTACCACAGATTAACAAAAGTCTTTAAAAATGTAGCATTTATGTGTACGCTGCTGTTCAAAATTTTGGGATAGATAAGATTTTAGTGTTTTTTAATGGAGTCTCAATATAAACGTATATATCTTTACTATCACTCTTTATCCAATTAACACTTCCTTGCTGAATAAAAGTATCAATTTCTTTAAAAAAAAACAAAAAAGAACAAATTTGCTCACCCCAAACTTTTGAATAGTAGTGTACACTGTAACACAAAATTCTATTTTGAATAAACACTGTTCTTTTGTTCTACTGTTCTAACATTTATCAAAGAATCCTGAAAAAAAAAGTATCACAGGTCCCGATATTAAGCAGCACAACTGTTTCCAACACTGATTATAAATCAGCATATTAGAATGATTTCTGAAGGATCATGTGACACTGAAGACTGGAGTAATGATGCTGAAAATTCAGCTTTGCTTTACAGGAATAAATTATATTTTAAAGCATATTAAAATAGAAAACTGTTATTTTAAATTGCAATAATATTTCACAAAATTACAGTTTTTTTCAGTATTTTTGATCAAATAAATGCAGCCTTGATGAGCATAAGAATCTTCTTTAAAAAACATAGAAAACCTAACTGATCCCACACTTTTGAATGGCACTGTATACTTTTAGTAAAATCATACATACAATAAAAAACTTGTAATTCTTAATCTTCTGTATATCGGCTTATCGCAATGGAAAGCAAACAAGTTGCATGACTATGATTTTAGTTGCTATACTTTCTGTGGTGAACATGACTTCTGTTCATAAGTGTTTGTTGGCCGACAGGTAATTACTCTGACTAAATTGTTTATCATTACTGAAATGATGGAAAACCTTACATTTTTGGTTTGACTTCTGCTATGGGGAGGGTTCGAACCTTA